AAAATCCTGTCAATGACAGAGCTGCACTTTGCTGTTAGTCAGATACTTGATTGCCAGAAATTTTAGGTTAGCTTCTGGCTGCTCCATTAAGCAAATGAGCTTAGACAAGGGTTTTCATTCTGTGTGCCTCTTTTTTTTTTTCTTTTTTCCTTTTTCTGCCAATTGTGTATAATACCACCTTGCTAGTAAGATCATTGGTTGTGTATTGATATGTAGCACACTTCTAAGATTCTCATCCTTCAGAAACCTTAAAACTCCTGAGCAATGGCTTCTGCTTAGCTTGATTAGAGTAGATGGGAATAATAGGTTAATGGAGTTAGACGTTCTGGTGCTTTCATGGTGCTATAGTTTGTGTAGAAAACATAAACCCTTATGAAGTAAGTGGCAAAGAATGAACACTATTATCTAACACTTTCTTCTTCATCGCACCTTCTTTCTTCGTCTTGCTTCTTTTCTTCAAACCTTGCCAAATCCTGGGCTTTCCTGGTTTCAGAGAATTGCAGACATGTACAAGAATCTCACTTCCATTAAAAAAATAAAAACAACTACCCCCCTCTTTCTGTGTGAAGGACTTAAACTAAGCAGTTTAGAAGTAAATTGATTGGTAGGGTTGAAAAATAAAAGCAGTTGGGATCCACCTCTGCAGTAAAAGCTATGGGATGATATTAATCCTCTTTCTCCCTGCACAAAGAAATAGGATAACAATGGAGAAAAATCTCCCATAAGAAGACAGAGAGTCTACACAGATTTCTTTTTCACAAGGATGCCCGGAAATGTAAAAGCTGATTTTGATATAAAATGTGCATTCTTCCAGAATGTAAATGAAAAACCTTGGATTTTACAAGTCACTCGTTTGGTCACTTAACGACAGCGGTTCCTGGTTCCCAAGCAAATTTGCTTTTTGTTGTAAAATCCCATAGGGACTGTTAAAATAAGAATTTCACCTGCTGATCTTCATGCAAGGGATTTGGTTCTAGAGGTTTCTGGCCAAACCAAACAGAGGTTAAATTAAGAAAGGACTAAATTCAATTAAAAATACTTCTACTCGTAAAGATATTGCTTCAGTAGACCAGTGGTGATTACCAGATAACTTTTTGAAATATTGCTGTTTCTTTCTGAAGATTAGCCAAAAAGTGCTGTTTGTTTAGGTGAAAACTTTGATTTGAAGTCAGGGCTGATAATACTCGAGACTGATGTGTCAGGTCAGACTGCTGAGCTAACGAGCTAACACTACTATCTCCAGTAGCGGTCAGCGTGAAACTCTTGAAAGCAAAGGGTGTGCCGTACTGGCATGCTGCCGTATCAACCTTAGGAGCTCAGTAATTAAGTTTCCCATCACTTCTTTGGTCCAGCCAAGGCATGTATTTCTGTTTCTTGCCTATGACTGAGCAACACAGAAGCATGCAAACAAAACTATCAAGCTAAAGGCAGTTCAACTTTTCTAGACTTTGCAATGGAACTTAGTTTGGAAGAATTCAGGTTTTAGTCAAATTTATTTACTTGTCCCTAAGAGTAAGGTTGGCACGAGCTTTGATAGCTTTAGCTATTTCTTGTTCTTGCAGAGACATACTTGCCTTTCTCAGTACCATCACCTCCTTCTCCACCACTTCCAGACAATTCCCCCGTACGTTCCCCTTCGCTGTCCCCAGGGCCTCCTTTGCTTCCAGGCCTAGGAGGAACAGCGGGATACTGCTGCTTACTGGAGCCATGCTGCCCAGCTGTCACTCCTCCTACCATCCGCCCATGGGCATAGCCATGAGCATCTTCCCCGTAATGCCCTCCTGGTGGGATGAACTTCTGAAAGTGATCCTAGGGCAGAAGAAAAGAGAGTAGGAATCCCTGTTACAGGACGCGGTCCATTCACATTTGTAGGGTTGGGTCCCAGAACGTGAACTCCTGAGTCCCCATGATCTGACCAGTTTTCTATCTCAGTTACCAAACCAGTGGCAGAACTTTGTGTGAGTTATTCTCTATATTCAGTATAGGAGCCGTTGTAGAACAGCAGCAAAGGCAATGGAAGCACACCTTTTAATGGACACCTCAGTCATTTTATATGATCAGGGTGAGAAGAGAGGGATCTGTGTATTGTCCCCAGCAGTGATCAGTATGAAATACAAGAGGAAGGGAGAGGAAATACAACTTTTGCCAGAGCAGGTAAAGGTCCAGACAGAGATACATTGGCTGACCTGTGGGAGAGCAAGCTGGACAAGAAATAGGAAGTGTTTTCATGTCAAGGTTAACATAGCCCGGCAAAGTCAGCTTGATTACAGTGTGGGAGCTAAGTGTTCCAGGGCACCAGAACAGCAGGGTACCTGTGACAACATAAAAGCCCGTATGTCTGTTTTCCATACATATGAAGGTCTACATGGGGAGGGGTATTTACACATTGAGAAAGCCTGAAGAAATAGCAGCCTGGGAAAACATGAAGGACTTCCTGGAGACCACAAGAGGAAAATTACTTCCTTTTTAGGAAGAGTTTTGTTTGTGGCAATATGTGCATTAACGAACCAAATCTAACCAGCAACAAGGCAAGAAAGCAAGCTGTATCCATCAGTAAAATCAAGCTGGTCTTACTGTCCTGGCCGTCCACTCTCCCCAGTCCAAGCTAGAAGGCACAATCCCCGCAGTACATAGTGAAAGAGCAAACAGTCCATGGAGGATTTATAGACCTTGTGGTGCCAGCACAACGTCCTGTCTTTGCACACAGCAATTTTAATAAATACTTGTGTGGAACAAAAACTGGTAAAATATGTTCAGAAAAATGTTCTATGTATGGGTCATAAGTGAGATCAAAGCTTGACTCCTATCAGATATAAAAAAGTATCTCTTGTGTATTATAGCCCATGCAGCTCTATAATACAAGTAACCTGGGTTATATATCACATATGGTCTTTCCTATTGGACTAGGGGACTGGCTATCGGTGTGCAAAGATGTAAAAAATACAGCTGAAGCTGAATGAATCTGTGGTTCCTTATGCTGCAATTCTGCTTGTATAAATTCATCTCAGGCAGTCAATGGGAGACAAGAGTGTCAACCTCAGGGCTGGCTCTCAAAGGGTTAAGGCTTTCTCAGGGCTCTTACACCTAGGACAGTTCAGCAAAAAGAAGCTTTCCAGGCTGTAAACAGGCTTCCAAGGCCAGCTGTTCGGTCAGCTAAAAATAGATAAGAAGTGAAAACCCCACAAGGCTCAAGGCAGAATTATCTAACCCTCTGCTCCCTGTGTCTCCAGCAACAGTGTCCAGGGTTTCACAGCAGGTCACCAGGCTGCAACCCAGGCAGGCAGCCAGCTGCAGGCTGAAGTGGCAGAGCTGGTGCCCCCAGGGCCTTTAGGGACTGTCTGTCCTTTTCCTAGCTGTAGGGAATTCCCTTTTTAGGCACAGAGGGGATAATGTTCCCCTGAATGTCAGGAAGCACTGAGAAGGGAGAGGATTGTGAGCATTAAGCTGTATGCAGGAGCTAGCAGGGCAATCTGTTCAATTATGTGTGGGAGCTATGTAGCTGTAAAAAGGCAAACTGAAAAAAGGGTTTTTTGAGGGCTAGAGGTCAGAATGAGGTTATTCTCAAAACGTTAATATATATGCAAGGTTAATGCTTCTACTGATTTGCTCAGTAATTTCAAGACAGGATTTGCATCTGTTTTCCTTCAAGTTTCATCCATGCTGTGTGCCCTTCCTGAGAATTAAATGCTTATTTCTCTTTTCTTCTGGTTACTTACATGCACTCTCCTGCAAAAAAAAAGGTCACAAAACATCAGCATAACATGAACTACAGTAAAAAGGGCTGGTTTGATTTTATGCACAGCAGTATTTGACGTGACCAGGAAGGGGCATCATTGTCATCTGGTGTTATTTTAAATTGCAGTATTGTCACTAAGCAGGATAAGTTTCAGTGAAGTTTCTCTGAAACACAGGGTCTGCCTCAGGAAAGCCACACCTAAATCTTATTTAGCTGCAACTGAAATTAGTTTGATTGGTCTCAGGCTAGTTCATGATTCTTCACAATGAGGTTATTCTCAAAACGTTAATATATATGCAAGGTTAATGCTTCTACTGATTTGCTCAGTAATTTCAAGACAGGATTTGCATCTGTTTTCCTTCAAGTTTCATCCATGCTGTGTGCCCTTCCTGAGAATTAAATGCTTATTTCTCTTTTCTTCTGGTTACTTACATGCACTCTCCTGCAAAAAAAAAAGGTCACAAAACATCAGCATAACATGAACTACAGTAAAAAGGGCTGGTTTGATTTTATGCACAGCAGTATTTGACGTGACCAGGAAGGGGCATCATTGTCATCTGGTGTTATTTTAAATTGCAGTATTGTCACTAAGCAGGATAAGTTTCAGTGAAGTTTCTCTGAAACACAGGGTCTGCCTCAGGAAAGCCACACCTAAATCTTATTTAGCTGCAACTGAAATTAGTTTGATTGGTCTCAGGCTAGTTCATGATTCTTCACAGATCCACTGGGAAAACATCCTATGTTCAGCAGACATCTCTACTCAGATAGGAAAGACCCATTTTCCATGCAATACCCCAGTCTACTCATCTGCTAGAATAAAAATATAATTTTCTTTAGTTTTGGCCACCACAATAGATTGTCTTAGCTCAAATTAATAGGAGAATCTTCTTTTCCTATAACAGGAGGCAAAGGCAAATTCATCTTTTTGAAATCTTGAACCTCACTGGATTCAAACGAGCTCATTCCAAGAGAGCGGAGCTCAGGAATGGCAGCCTCAAGCAGGAGTCTCGACGTAGTCAAAGCTGGGTACGTGCAGCTTTGTCTCCGGTACTTACAGCATGCCTCTGGTCAGGGTGTTTAGGGTAAAATATGGCTTACACTTGAGGGGAATGCATGTCTTGGGCCATTGCTAACAGGATGTGGAGCTTTTATGTATAGGCCTATTCAAATCACAAACCCGACCTCTCAGTTAGGGTTGATTGACCCTGTTGGTGGAAGTCACAGGAGAGAAGCCCAGGCGTGCCAATTGAGAAGGCTGATAACCTTCTCCTGTTGGCTCTGCGGGCAGATCACACAGTCCCTCCGTGGTAGGGTCTGCCCTGTCTGTGTGTTGCTGGAGGTAGTGGATGTTATCAGTCCCTGGGCGTCCCTACACTCTAACAAGAGAACAATTGTGGCAAGTTAACGTGATGTGTAGTCCCCTGGGTTGGCTAAACAAATTGTGCTCATGTCTTTGAAGTCCTTAGTGCTAGCAAGAGCCTGATCCTGCAGGCTGAGTGCCTAGATGGATGAATTCTGAATTCTCTAGAGCTGCTGCATGTGTCTCATGAAAAATAGAAAATGAAAGACGATCCAGCTAATGGAGCTGAGATGTCTAAGTATCTCAAGGCCCTGACGTCACTGCAGGCAGTCCCCAGGAGGAGACACTGTGTGCTCCCCGTCAGCTCCTTGCTGTGCCCTAAAGAGAATGATTGAGGCCACCAAATGTGTTTCTATTTCCACCTCACTGATAAAGAGCTTCCCAAAGGTTTGATGCCTATGTGGTTACTAACACTTCTGAAGTTACTGTGACTGTGTCCTCTCAGTGGCAGCCACTCAAATGCTCCTTAATGGTGGGATGGGAGATTTAAAATTCAGACAATCGGAGAGTCTTATAGACTGCCTGCTGTTTTTATCGAAGTGTGTGCCTCGGTCCTTAATTTGGAGTTGCATAGCCTTAAACCTATGATTCACTTAAAAAAAAAAAAAGGATGAAAACAAAAAGCAACCTCAGCTGTTAAAGTATCTTAAGCTAATTTTCTTTTTAAACATGCTCCCCCAAGAGGCACAGTTTGTGGGTTGAGCTCCTGCTTTCTATTTCCAGGTCTACTTGTGACTTGCTGTTTAATCTTAGTCAAATTATTTTTCACCTCTATGCCTGGATTTACTCATCTAAATAATGGGAATTTTTATCTAATACTACCCAAAATTATTTATATCTTATTTGTATATTTTATATCATCCTTGCCGCATTTTCTTTGTGGGTGAAAGAAATTGAGTTTCAGAATTTCAGTCCAAAGTTTTCTCACAGTGCTCCAACAAACTGCTGTGGAAAATAAAAGGCTCTTCTTCTCTGTCATTCTGCTGTTTCCACACCAGTCACTTCTTGAGTAAGAAGGCATCAGACTTCATGTTCACTCTTATGCAGCTTTGGGTATAGTTGGGACCTCCAGGTCTTCTGCACCAGTCCAAGTCCAGCACAGCAAGGCTTATTCTGTTAGAAAAGTTACGTCTCAGCTGGCTCGCTCCACTTAGGTCATAACCTGAGACTCTCTCATATGTCAGCTTGCGGTTATCCTGTAACGTTTGTTCAAGAGGTTTAATATTCCTTGCAGAACAGAATTCCTAGAAAGAATGCTTTTCCTAACATTTTCCCTTTAACCTTACCTCCGGTGATCTTGATTGGCATTCTTCTAAGTACATTAATGGGCAAACAGAGCCATCAGTGCATGCTTGTGCGTTAAACAAAGTAGCTGCATGATAACATCTCTGTTCCTCTGTCCTTATGCTTTCCTTCACACACTGTATCACGTCTGGCTATTTAACATGGAAGATCTCTGAAGCAAGTTGTTTGTGTACTTCTGTCTGCTGTGAAGCACCGCTTTTGGCGTTGAAACATAACCACTTCCATTTTCTTCCTGATGCCTCTGCTTACTCCTCTGAGTTCTCGTTCAGCAGCAAATGGAATACAGGATAACTCCTGCCATTATCCAGAAGAACAGTAATCCAATTCTTTAACCCTTTTTCACTTCTTATGTTTTGTTTCACAGTTGGTGTCTTAGCTTATCTGAAGAGACCTCTTGACCTGAAGTCCAGCAGAAATTACTTGCCAACACGTTCAGGTTGTTTTCATACAAGCATTGCCAATATGTGGAAACTGCATTTATTTTAACTTGTGGGCGAGTCTGAGAAAGTATCGAGGTGGGTTTTTTTGTTTGTGGGTCTGGGTTTTTTTGATGTACTACTGCTGATAATTGTCTGCTCAGATTCCACCTTCCTAATGGTTTTAATTTTCAAATCTTTCTGTAAACTGTCTCCTGCATGTAACCCAAATCAGGCCACAGGTTTTGACTAGCAGAAAGACTATTTTTAAGGATCCTCACTGGAAGAAAAACAGCATAACAGCAACACCCAAAAAGCATAACTATGGTTTTGTTTTCAGTTTCCACTTGATGATAGCAGGAAGGTCTTACACAGAGATTCCCAAAGCAGAGGTGGGACCTTGAGAGGAGTTAGGGCAATAATGAGTGGGGCTGTGAGGCTAAGAAACATAGTTTCACATGATCTTGATGTGTTTGAGGCCAAACAAATTTAGCATTATGAAGTGCTAAATAGGACTTCATAAGGAGAAAGGACTTCAGAAGGAGAAAAGGTCTGTGAACTGCTGATCTATTAATTGCTGAACAGTGAAGTGAGATTTAGGAGACCCAGAGATAAGACTCAGACTCTCTCTATGATTTTGGGTGATTCGTTAATCTACCCCATGGTTCATGGGGTAAAAATAAATGTAGTAATTTCCTTCATGCTATAGTAGGTCAGATGCTACAGTAATAGAGCACATAGCAAGATAGGATTTCATCATGGTCTTTAGTCAGTAGTAAATTGCATCTTGCAGCTTCACAGTGAGGTTGATAATATGCTCTGAGGCATGGAGAGAACCCCAGTTCCTGCGACCGGGTGGCACAGCCTGGGGCGAGAAGAAATCCTTCTGATTTACTAGACGGGGCTCAGTGGACCCCAGCTTCTCCAGCACAGCACCAAACAAGGAGGATGTCACATGAACTCTGGCAGGATATCAGTGTGCTAAAAGTGTCAAACTCAGCCCTCCCTAAAAACATGCCCTTGTACTGTACATTTGCAAGAGAAGAGGGTCACAGTATTGAAAACAGCTATACAGTAGGTAGTGCATTTCATTTTGCTCATGTTGGGAATGGTCAGTCCTTTTGACTGTGGGTTTAGCTACCATTTGCCTTTAACTGGATGGGTGGAGCCACAGCAGTGACAGAGAGAGTGGCAGGTTCTCCCTTTTCCATGGACCTGTCTGACGTTCACGCAACACAATATATATGTTTTCTCTGCTAAAAGTAAGGAGAGTGATCTGATTGTCCAGTGTGGTTGTGTGACTGGAGGAGAAGGAGGCGAAGAGAAGCAGGAGGGTGGATCGATGACAGGTGACTGCTGAGATCTTCTCCCTTGTGTGGAAGGTTTGTGGCTACAGCACAGGCTATTCTGGGACCCCTTATATGGTTTGGATTTATTTTTAATAACCTTTCTCTTTGTGTGTTTTTATATTACATTACCTTGCTGTTAAACTTTTTCTGGGGGAAAGAAGCAATCTGTACTCCATCCCAGACCTTTCTTGCGCTGCTTTGCTAAGTGTGTCCTGAGAAGATTCTAATACAGTTAAGAAATCTATGATAAAAAGCCAGAAAACACACCACCAGCTTTAAATCCCTTCACTGTCCCACAGCCTTAAAGTCACAAGGACTTCTTTGGGATGGGAAGCAAAGGACATGAAAATTAACTGGGATGGGGAAGTAACTGGAAGTAGCAGTAGGAATTCTTCACTCTGCCATTATCTTCCTCCCACAGTTCCCTTTTGTTTAAGCCTTCTTTTCTGCATCCGCCTTTGAGCAGAGCCAGGAGCAAGAACGGAAAGGAACAGAAAGCTAATCAAATATTGCAATCAAAAGGGCTTTTTGATGAAAGTTATTTGGTGCTAAGGTCAGACATTGTCCTGATGGTTTGGAAGATAACAGTGAGGCCACAGATCTGCTGCCTTTACCTGCCCAAGAGCAACCAGCTCTCCGAGAGGATGGCTGAGTTGCTGCGATCGCTCAGCTTTTCTTCTCACTGCTCGGACTGCCAGCAAAGGTGCTAACTCATGCTGGCTGTGGTGATGAGAATAGTTGTCCACAGAGGCAGTGGATGCAGCCTGGCACAGTGCTTGCACAGAGCACACAGGGCAGCCAGCAAATGGTAACAATTATGTTCGTGATCCTGCTAAGCTGGCCCCGAGAGAGGGCTGGAGGGCAGACTGAAGGCTTCCTGCACTGACCAATGGAGATTTGTTATCTGTACCATGAATGTGGAGAAAAGATAGCCCTGAAAGTGAATTATGGAGGATTTTAAAGCAGAGTACCAGCTGCTGTTTGGAGACCATGCCATTGTCCTCATATAGCAAAGCCATGAAGAAAATCCCTAGGCTTGTTAGGGTCTTGTCTGACCCCCAAATACATTTCTCCACAGCACAGTGTCTTACAGTCTTGCTCAAAGAGCTTGGGATCAGGGGTGTTCTGACAGAATAGAGGGAGAGATTCACTACAGAAAGGGTATGGAGTGAATGTGAGGCATGGATGAATAAACAAAGTAAGAAAAACAGATAACAAAAAAGAAGCGATTGTCATCAGCCTTTGTAATGTCAGTCTTGGAGGGACTCTGTTTGTACATGTCCGGTTTTGAGTCCGTTTGTCACAACTCATTTGCTTTGTATTTCTCTGACTGGACACCCTTAAGTGACACCCTCAAATTTTCAAAGTTTGGACTTCAGCCGCTTTATTCCCTCACTTTATTATTTTCTCACTCCTCCTCACTGCAGCAGATTCTGACGTATGAACTTGGCCCTCGTATGTTTTAGGAGCTCTGAGATTGCTGAGTATTTCTAAAAACAGCTTGCATTTCTCCAGGATTTTCATCTGAAGAGTCCAAAGTTCAACGCACCATTCATTCTTACATCCTTTCTAGGAGATAGCTCACTGAAGAGATGAACTATCTAAAGCACAAAGAGATGAAGAAACTGCCCGAAGTCTAACAACACCGGATATGCTTGCTATATCTCTGGTCTGTCATCCCTGATCTGTAATCTGACCTACTGTTGTAATTTTAATGACTTTTTTTTTCAGACATCTTTCCACATCCTGCTTCCCAAATTGTCATTTTTAGAAGTGAACTACAAAGATTTACTTATTGCTGCTTTTGAAAGCATCAGAGGGGTAAAAAATAGCGTGCTTTTGTTTGGCAGAACATTTTCTTCAGCTTGACTTTTATTATTTTGCTTGAGTTTCCTTGGACTGGAAAACAGATTCCATAAAGGGATAAAATGACACAAAATAAATTTTAAAGAACATCAGAAGAGGAGATGCTAGATCAAAATGCATATGAACCTGAAACATTTTCTACTTCTTTTACTGAACTGCTGACAATCATGTGAAAGGAGAGTTTCATTTGTAAAAGTTAAGTATCTTCAGAAGACTTTACACCAGGCAACTAACTGTAGAGAGAAGTTCAAAGATTAAATAATGGTACTAACTCATGGGAAAGGGGAAAAAAAAGAATGTCTGAATTTATACACCATATCTGATAGGAAAATACTTTAGAAGAAAACAAACGTGGCTTCTAGCAAATAAACTGAAGATATTGCAGTGTCAGGTTAGAGGTTTCTGTCTGAATTTTCATTTATGGAACTTCTTGCAGAAATGAGCAGAGGACTCTGCCCAGCAGGAAGCATAAAAGTGTATCCTACGCTAAAAATAGAACCGCACCCACTGGGGCTGAAGTCAGACCTGGATGGAACATTTCCATCTTGCAAAGAAGAAATTGAATGAGTACAGAAACAATTAGTCTTGCCCTGCACGGTTCTGAACACCTGACAAACATGCAGTCCTCCCTCATCACTCAGGACTGAATTTTCTCATGCTTCTGCATGTGTGATACCAAGTATTTGCTAAAGGAAACTAATGCTGCTGCCAAAAGGAAATAAAACTTGTGTGTTTATATAATTTTGGCTTTTTCCTGCACTTCTTCGCTAGTAGATTCCCCCCGCCCCTGGCCTGGGCACATACAGACAGAGGAGAGCTTGGGCACACTCCATTCCTGTTTCCCCTGGGTGTATGAAGCAGCTTTTTAGTTTTAATCTCCAACCTACCACAGAATTGTCGGTGAAGGCATCAGGGTTATTCTCATAAATGAACTTCTCCACCCTCAGCTGCCGTAATTTGAACATCTTGGATCCTTTGTTAGTGAGGAGAGAAAGCTCTTCTAGCATCACATCTCTGGGGATGCTGATCTTCTTCCCCAAGTTCAGCTTGGACACCTCTTGTGGCATGACTACAAAACATATGAAATGGGACACTTTAGGAAGTGCTCTGGTCCAAGTCTCTTGTCCATTGCTTCCCAGCATCAGTAGTGACTTCAAAGCAGTCAAATTCTCTTCTAAATTAAGTTTTTAGGAAATACCCTATGCACCAAATTTTTACATTGATGACGCTCGGATATAGATGGGTGGAATTTACTCTGGATTGCAATCAAGGCAAATCTGCACAGAGAAGAGTTGCATAAGGGTGGAGCTAGATGCATGTGTCCCACCTGAGAAGCACCTCAGTCTTCTCAGAGATGCTCAGAGCAGCAGGATTTGTTAGTACTGCCTCAAATGCACCACTGCCTTGTCTGGTTACTGCCCTACACCCCTCCTCTGGAATTAGATGAGTGGCAGTCAGCTCTTCGGATTGGGCTGACATAATAAATAAAGACAACTCTGGCGTGCGTTGGTTTAAACATTATCCTGAAACCATGGCAAGATTCAGTGTTGTTATATCTTTTTTTTGTTTGTTTTAAGGAGAATTTTTAAAGGGAAAAGTAGTTGAAGTTCTCTTCAAGTCTTAATACGCTGGTTACTCAATAAGTCCTTTTCCATTTAATTTGGTACCACCAATTCTCCATCAAAACAATGGATTCAAACATTTTCAGTCTAAAAATCTTGCAGAAATGCAGTTAAAGCCTTTCATTCAGAAACAAACAAGTTTTCCTAGGCTTTCTTTTTTCTGTATTAAGCAAGGCTAAGACCACTTATCCACCTCTACATCTTATTTACAACAGAGAATGAATCTCCATCCTTAAACTGGTATAAAATTGGTATAAGCGAATAAATTTTTTTTTACAGCAAGCCAATTTTATATAGCACTATTTCATAGCATAGGAGGAAATGCCCTTTAACTGAAAACTGGATTTTTACTTACTTGTTTACTTGAATAAAAGGTCAGGGACAAACAGAAAAAATATATACCTGTACCCTAGCAAAGAAGTTTCTACAGCCCTTTTTGGGGGCTGAAGGGACAGCACTGAATTGTTGCTTTTCAAAACCTCTAAAAACCTTCCCCATGCTGTCAAAAGTAAAGAGAAGATAAGGATATCACAGTTAATTAAAAGTCACCCTACCCAATACACAGGTATTCTGTAGAAAGAAAAGTATCCCAAGTTATATTCTCCTCTAAGAGACTTTGACTTTTTCAACTAATAAGTGCTGGAATCAAAGGAATTCTCTCACATAGAGGAAAAACAGATTAGAGACAAAGGTTATAAGAGAGAGAACAACACAGAATATAACTAGGCACCGCAATATTCATGCCCATAAAAGATCACGTTCTCTTTCCATTCACACTGGTGTGCATCCAAATTAATGCTGCAGGAGAATACGGGCTTACAAAGTGTAATCTAGGTCAACATTTGACCTGAGTGTGTGTCCAGTGCTTTTGAACAGTAAATTAGAAAATGTGATGTGGTTGAAGGCTGAGCTTTAGTAATATTTGTGGCTCTGCCTCCTGGTATGTTCGCTGCATGTCTTGCTCTGGGAGTTCAGTCAGACAGGGTGTGAAATTTTAAAGGCTGAAATTCAGGTTGAAATCCAAACAATTCTCACGTGTGCAGTTTTGCATATCTTACCTTCGTGTGTCAGCTTCCCAATGAGTTTAGTGGACTTTTTCCTTTTAACAGGAGCAGGAGTCCCTGCAAGGGGCATTCCCACAAAGGGTTCTCTGCTTTGCTCTAAAAACACAAGGAAATGGAGAATGAAACACTGGAAGGGTATTTCTTGCCTCTCTTTTAGTTGCCATCTACAGTTAAAAGATACACAGCCTTCATTTCACACACAGGTTCTTTTCCACCCCTTCCACATGAAGGAGCTAGTAAATGGTATCATCCCATACAGAATATCATCAGCAGGCCATTGTGGTGTTCTCTGGAGACATTATGACACAAAATATGGCAGCAGATCACAGCAGAAGCATTGCCAAGGTGCCATATAGCATTGTCATCCAAAATCGGCATTTTAATTGCAACATGGCAGTCTCCCAGTACCCACGTGTGCCACAGTGGCACTCTGTTACCATCTTGTGCTGCAGTAACAGAACATCAGTTTGAAATTTGCTCTATCATACCATGTTATAATACCATGCAGTTATCATTAGATGGTAATATATATTTTTATGTAAAGATTTTGGGTCTGTCCATGAGTTATTTGGGAGCGTTTTGAATAACGTGCAAGTTTGGTTTGGATATTTAGATAGTCCTATTAGAATTAGAATAGGTATTCAGAAAACCACTAGACTGCAAGTTCTGAAAAAAGAAGAAACAAATCAAAACCCTAAGTAATTCTGTCTTTTATGACTGCTACTGTTCCGTTACAGAAGGGCTGGAGGAAGAAGGCACAGGCAAACTTGTTAAAGGAAAAGTCGTTCACCCAAGTTGTTGAAGTCACTTGCACCTGTATCTTATGTATTGATCTTATCGCATATCATTTTGGAGGGGGGAGGAGGGGAAGAGGGAGATTTCTTCTGGTACAGTGTTCCCCATCTCTGTCCCCAGATAGGATGAGAGGCCTGTACTGCAAAGTCAGGGAAAATTAGGAGAAATCTCAGCAATTCCACTTCAGGCAGCTTCTCAGAGTCCTTCTTGGGGTTTATCACACATAATGTAAGTAGGGCAAATGTCTTGCCTTGACTTCAGCCCTGTCCATGCCCAAACAACAGCATATAGGGGGACAGATTCTCACCTAATACAATACAATACAAAGAAAAATGAGCGAAGACCCGTTGGCTTCAGCAATAGCAGACAGTAACTAACCATCTCTGTCCTTGTGCTTCTTTGCACTTTAGTTGCTTAAAATTTCAGAACTGAAGACATTGAACTATGAGTTACATTTTAAAACAAGCAAACAGCTGGCTCTAGGAGTTAGTACATTGCCCTTGTTGTGATCAAGACATTTTTATTTCCTATGTATTTTGCAGTTTCATTCCACCATTACTCCTTTTGCAACATGATTTTCATGTGATGAGGTGATGGTAACTGCTAAAAGAAGACCAGCCACAGCAAACCAGCACCAATCACATTGGCAAATACTCTCTTGGATTAGTTTTTCTTTCAGATTTCCAAGCTTTTCTTTTTACTGAGATGATGCCTGTGTAGTTCACATCATAAAAGAGACCATCGTGGTGTATTCCCAAAGCAAGCGTGAGCAGGTGCAGCCATAAAGCACGCACTGCACATTCTCCTCGAGCAGACGGACATCTGCTTGGCTATATAAAAGAAGCAGGCCCTGCTTGACAGGAAAAGGGCAATGCTGCCAGGAGGCGGGGGGGGTGGGAGGTTATGGCCCATCTGATGGGTCATACGACTGGCAAAACAGAGGGAAATCATCTGTATGCCCCAAACGTGGACTCCCTGGGGTAAGGCAGAAAAGGCTGGCCCTGGTGGGGAACCGTACTCCTCTAGCACACCCATTCCCAAGGAGCAGCAAGGGCAAGTCCATCCCATTCTGCTGTCCTCCTTTACTAATCCAGCAGGACTGAGGAATGGAAAACCTGCTGCATGCAATTGGTCTAGCATAAGGGAAGGGGCAGCAGCCTTTCACTATGGACAGGGTCCAGAGCTACACTGGGACTACTGCTCTTTCAACCACCCCACCACGGGGAGGCTGCTGGAGCCTCAGTCTCCATCCTCCCTGCTATCCCATACATAAAGCCAGGGCCACAATTATCCTTTTCTCCTCTAAGCTCTATCCCTTGGTTCAATTCCTCTGTCTTTTTCTGCATCGGTCTTTGCAGCAGTCACTTCCTTGGTTTTGCTGCACACCAAACCAGTCTTACCCTCTCCAGCACCTGCTCTAAACTATTTTGCTGCCCGGTCAACTCACCTCAGGCTTGCAGTGCCAGGCTCAGACCAGCTCACGCACCTGCCCCAGAGCTCGGCAGTGGGCTGCTTCCTCCCAGCCCGTCGCTGGGTGCTGCTGGGGAGGCTTGTCCAGCAGCCCCGCTCACCCAGGGTGCCTGGGCACAGGCAAGCTCTGCCCAGCACAAAGTGCTGATGCGAAGTGCTGTGAATTTGACTCCTGAAGGCTGCTCATACAGGCATCCTGTGGTTATTAATAGCCAACGGCCCAGAGGGCAGAGTTTCAGATAGCAACGCTGCAAGCCCCGAGAAGAGGGGAAAGGAAAAGGTTGCTCCTCAGGCCTCCTGCAGCCACTGCCTCAGTTCCCAGGAAGACCAGGCACTCTATAGGTGCCTCACTTCTTCCTCCTCTCTGTTCAAATCAGCATGCTATTCCCCTTCCTCCTCCTATTGCATTTTAATGCAATTCATAAAACCTTCTCAATATCCTGTTTGTCAGTAACGCCTCAAAAGCTCTCTTGGGTCTTGGCTCTGTTTTACACTCTCCTTCTGCCTCCTCCTCACTCCATCATTCAACCCAGTGTCCTCTAGGCTCTCATCATACATAATTTCTAAAATGCCAGGCATTCAAATAATACATCAGAAAGCACAGAAGAAAAACAATTGTATGCATGAAGCAAGAAGTAGTAGGAAAACCACAAAGTCTAGAAAGCTATTTACAGAGTTCTAGGAAGTAGCTGTGTAATGTGTATGGGAAACCCAACAGAAATCAAATAGCAAGGAAACTAAGTTCTTGATTCATGACAGAAATAGGGTTGATTGCCTGCATTTGGTGCAGCTTTGTACATGCAAATGACTGCCCTTCTTTAGCTCCTGTTCATTATGAGGCTACTCTCCCTGTTTTTTCCCCCATACCCAATTGGGTTCTTGTAGGATGAAGGGAACATATCTCATTTTACTGGATTACTCAAAGATGCATATACCTTTCAGCTTCTATGTAAAGCAGAAATCCTACAGAAAACATTGTCTTCCTATTTCACATTGGATCAAAAAGTTGTCCACTGAATAAACCTGGAGTCTAGTGGAGGGAAAAAAACCCACCAACACACAGCTGTGATTGCAGTAGAAAATCATCTGCACAGAGAATTGCAAGCAAAGCTGATATAAAGAAACATCAAGAGACAGTCACTTTCCCGTTTTCCTAGGTTTTGCAGAGTTGTTTTTGCTTGCACCAAATGCATATAAAACTTCCCAGTGTGATAAGTAGGTTGAAAGCACAAAGCATTAACCCCCAGTACTGTTTGGAAGATCCTCTATAATAGAGTGCTGTAACATACCTATGGGCTATAATCAGCCTTTATACCCTGCTTGGAGTAAGGGCATGTATGGCAATCTCCTGGCCTAAAGTTTCCCATTTTCCTCTCTCTTGCATCCATATAACCACTATGTATACCTCACATTGCGCAGCTCTTACTGTCCCTGATTTGTATCTACCGTAACACCATGCTGTAAGCTTTCCACTATCCAAAAGAGTACTGCGTCCTTCAGTGAGCCCAGCAGATACACAAAAATGATCCACAGGGGCCAGATGGCCCAGATCCTGCCCCCACACTCCCATGCTGGTGATCTGGGAGTAACTCCCCGGTGCTGTGCTAGTGTAAAACAGGTGTAGGGGATAGCACAACTGAACTGTAAACACCCACCGCCTGCTCTGGGCACCATCACAGAGCTTCACGTCTGGTGAAGACATTTACATCTGCACAAAGCTGGAGGGTGTCAAATATTACTATCACAACTGACCGTCTGTCCACACTTCACACCCACTCTGCACAAGTGCGGGTGGCCACAGAGGAGCAGGTCTCTTGGTATTGGCCAAGCCCTGCTCGCTGCAGATTGTATGAAGAGGAGTATTTTTTCACCGCATTTATTTCTCTTGGATTGGTTTAGCACCATGTTGGGCATTTGCCCAGAGTGCCCAGTGCCTGCTGTGAAGTTCAGTTGTGCTCTTTGAGATGCTGCTCTCCTATTCAAGTTCCCCGCATTCTAAACCCTATTTATCAAGGGAGCTATTGCCCGTCACAAGGTGATGGCATGTAGGGGGGGCATAGTGAGAACAGACACAATGTGCTGCTATATTGCTTAAAATCGGCAGCCCTTTGCCTCTCCTTTCCCAAAGGCATGAGGTACAGTTACCTCTTAATTTTAAGAAGTTTCTAGCTCCATTTTGATAATCATCTAAGAAATGAATGTGATTTATATTATAGGGTGAGAAGCTGAGAAATGCAGTGAACACTATATGGCACCTTCTTCCAGTCACTAGAGTGATGCTAAACTCTGCCTCCTCTCTACTTGCTTCCAGCTGCTGTTTTCAGACCAATTTATAGCTGCTGTATTATTTCTCCAGTCACCTCCTGTGCCTTCCTGAGCACAAATTACACCTTCGGGGAACAGTTTATGCCAAATGGATATCATGTGGAAACCTGCTGGATTTTAAGGCATGGTGTAGCTCCGAAAGATGGTGTAGCTCCAAAAGATGATGTAGCAGGGAAGTATGTCGTTGCTGTTCCCTGCCACGAGCATGACCACGAGGAAGCTGCTCCTCTGCTTCCTCCCACCCCAGGGGTTCACATCTGCTCCAGCAGGCAGCTGCAGGGACAGAGGAGCTGAGCAGGCTGGAAGGGGAGAGAGCACCCCATGGCTAGTTGGTAATTGGAGGTGAGCAGGAAACAGATGTGAGCCCTCTTATAAAACTCAAGAGAGACTACGGAAAAACAATAGCAAGGAGATGAAGAGTAGGCATGTCTAGCATGGTATGTGAGGATCTCAATGAGCAGGCACGCCCAGCAATTAGGACCAGGAACAAGGCACTGACAGCAATTCAGGGTGAGCCAACTCCAGGAGACAGGACTCCTCTGTGGATCCCCAGCCCAAAGGGCAAGAGGCAAGCAGGGTTAGGGGCAAGGCTAAGTACCTTGAAGTCCAGCTTCAAGGACTGATGAGAACTGTGGTCTGATGGGAACAAAGCATTTGTACGCCAAGTCAAGGTCTCGTGTGAGAAGTAGGCAAGGTGGTGAGAAACTGGAAGTGAGACAGGTTGAGCAGCCATATGAAGGAAAGTAAGCTAGGAGTAGAGAGTACAGGGCAGGATCTTTATCCAGGGCTCAGAAATAGTACCTGGAAGCTGAAATGATCAAATGGGGAGATTCCTTTATTCCCTAGATGCTGGTGGGTAGTATTTATGTTCCTAGACCAATCATCGGACTCCTCAGAAACTCCAGTAGCAAAATCCAAGGTTTAGACCAGCCTCTTGTCCAGGTTTTTCAGTGCTGTTGTGTCTGTGGCTGTCAGCAGGCTCAAATTCTGAAGAGACCTTGGCCACCTCCACTTTGAAAGATGATCCATAGCCCTCATTCAGTGCTATGTGAAGTCCCGTTCTGTCCTTGCAACCCTGATCCTCCAGAGGTTATTTGCATCTGCATGTGCATATGTACATACACCGGGTGGGACACAGGACCTAAGAGTGCAGCTGGAGTGTACTGCACAGAGCCTGAGCCTTGAACCCAGAAGGAATGTAAGAGAGGGTTTATCCTATTAGTATGGCACCAGGATTTATATGGTGATTTGGATAAAGCAGTCTTGAGTCTGACACTTATGCACCAAGGCACATCTTTAACTGAGATTCTCACCTCCTACTCTACCTTCAAATAAAATTATATGTCTCCATTTTCAGTTACCAGGCGAAGAACTAAATCCTGCTCCTTTCTCCTCTCTATGCAGTTTCTCCTGAGAGAGAGAAATGTCTAGTTCACTAGTCTAGAAATGTCAATGGTGGGTCTAGCAGTGACCTCACTTGTGCCCTGCCATGGTG